GGCAGGGAGCGGAGGAGGAGGCCTCCCCACGGCGTCCCGGCCGCCGCCTTTCCCCGTGGCCGCCACGAGCCAACACGGGCGGCCCACGAGCCACAGCGCATGCACTTGCCGTGCCCTGCCCCATGTGCCATGGCTGCGACTTGCCCTTCACGCCCGGCTGCCAGGCAGGTGAGGGAGGGCAGAAGTCAACACTGCACCTTTGAAGAGTTGGCTGGTGTAAACAGTCCCCCCCCACCACCCTCCCACTGACACTTGTTTGTCTTAAATACAGCTTTTTCCGTGAACTGCCACAGATTTTCCACCTCATCGGCCAACCAACTGCTGACGAGGGTTGTCCATTAGCGCCTATGATGGCCTATGAGAAACACCGTCTTTTAACGCTGGACTTTCCTTGTGAGGAAGGCAGGCGGTGGTTGCACACAAAATGCCAAACAACCTAATTGTTTTCCTTAGTTACCAGGGTAGGAATTAACATTGTCCTCAGCCGAGCACAAGGACTTTCTGTAATATAAACTCGGACAATAGGAAGGTATGTTTTCTTGACCCATTGCAGGAAATCCTGTGCGTCTTGCATGGGAATGCAACATTTTCCTGCACTGTCTACAGCTGAATTCCAGCGCTCGGGAGGAGCACGTCTGGAAGCAGCATATTTTGCACGAGTGTACAATTCTAACCAAACCCAATTTATTCACTGAACCTACGGACCTGGACGCTGTGAACAACACCAGGCCCTGCGCTCTGTGACTCAGATGGACGATCCTCCGTCTAGAGCTCAGCGGTCACAGCAAAAACCTCAAACAAAGCTGAGCTCCGCAGCGAATATTTGTAATCGTTCACAGAGGCGATTCTGAGCTGACACACTCAGAAACCCCGTTGATATGGCTTGGATGGGCTAAGGCAAACAGCCTGTTTTGAGTTTGGTGTTTTTCAAGCATCGTATTTAATATAGTAACTCAGAAAAGACTGCGGTGCGCGATTGCTTTTGAATGAAAAATATGGGCTGCGTATCCCTTCCTCGTGCCCCAGTGGAAATCACACTGATAATTTAAACACAGCTGTCCTGCTGTGCATTTGTATCTGTGGCCCTCAAGGATGGTGACATGTTGTAATAGCTGTGGCTGTCTCCGAACAGAAATAATAAGAGAAACATAAAAAAACTCTTTCCCCTCCACCCCCAGACAAATGGCACTTCTGATTCTTATTTTAGGTTTGGAACGTGCTCTCAGAAAAACAGAGATACCTGTCTCTACTTCATTGTCTCTCCTTGTTAAGATTAAATGGATCATTTCCATTTAGCGTTGCTGCTGCTGTTGATTAGCCAATTTTTAAAAAAAAGAAACAATTCAGAAAGTGACGCATTACTTCTGCCTGTGGACAGAGGGAACAGCTGAAACGTGGGAGTCCAGACTACAGCTGTGTGACTACAGTTTTTTTTAAAAAGTGCATATTTTAGTGAATAAAAACTACTGATTCTCTCTGCTGGTATTGTAGACCTTCTCTACTTA